CCCCAAAACCCCAAAACCCCAAAACCCCAAAACCCCGACAAAGATATTTTAGATTGAATTTATTGGTAGAAACCTGATCTATTTCTGGCTATATGTCTACATCAAATGAATACACCCGCATGATGTTACCCAGCACCAGTAGCACTTTGTCTTCAGATATCTTGATTTCCGAAACTCCTGGCTTCGATGGATGTTCTTTGTAACTCTTCACCACACGTGACCCTGCAGGGATCGAGTGCTTCTGCCCGCTCTCCAGGTCAATGATGCTCACCTTCATATCTTTGGCAGCTCAGGCTGCAATGGCGTTGTTGATGTCAACGCTATTCACATGTTCTGAGGCTTGGATGTTATTGAAGATAGGTCTTCTTAGCCCCCAAGGATAGTGTGCGCCATCTCCTCGCTCAAGGACTCCCTCTGATACTTTATTTTAAGCTATGTATGGCCGTGGTGGTGACTCTGGCTTGCTCATCTTTGGCTTCTTCTTGTGCGATTGTGTGATAGAATGAATTCCAAGCCAAAGAGTGTCTGTCAGAGAACCCGAGAATGACCTTCGAAATAAAGAGTTCATCTTTATTGTCTCTAATGTTTTCAACTTCGATTCTGGACACTGGAAAGAACTTGACTTTGACTGGGGTGCCTTGCAACTTCATTGCAGTCAACACTTTGTAAGTTATTCTGTCCAGCACATACAGATACAAGTTTGTAGCAACATAAATAAAGCTTTCTTTGACAGTTATGCTAAAAATGCTCTCTCCTATATCGTTGGAGAGCCTGTCTTCAGGATCCTCAGTTCTGTGTTCTTTGACTCAAACTTTAACAATGAACTTGCCATTCTGAGTGCTGAACACATCGATGTTGCACAAGGAGTCTGGCAGCAGTATCACATCGTTGATCCTGTCGAAGCCCACACTGAGCTTGAGAGCGTCTTGGCCGAAATGCTTCCACACATCGATCGATGCATCTTCTGCTCCAGTGTCGATGTCCATGTCGTCAAGCGCAGAATCACTTGCAATACTTCTGAGCAAGTCTCCGGTGCCTCTATCAGCTATGTAGATTATGTTGGACGACTCAGATGAACGATCAATCCTGTAGTCTGGGCACAGTACCAAGAACTTGTTGAACACTCTCACAATGCAGTTCGGGTCAAGCTTGATATCAATATCACCGCTATAAACTGTAGAGGCTACAGTAGCTGACTCTGTGTCTTCGTCAATGCTGAGTTGGTACAGACACAGTCCCACTTTGTCAATTCTGTTTTCGACCACCAGCAGAGATCTGTCAGATTCGTCGTAGTGGAACCTGCACACATGCCTCTGAGCGAACTCTTCAATCTTGTGAGCCTTGTACTCTTCTTGGTCTGCATAAGATATGAATGACAGCGTGATGTACCCATCCATGTCCAAAGATATCACCAGATGCCCATGGATCTCTACCTGCTTGATCAGGGCATCATGCTCCCTGATCGGAGCCATTTCATAGTTGTAGACTGTAGCATCAGTGTCGGGGTCTCTTCTCCCAATCCTCATGTTCTTGTCGATGTTGATGACTTTTCTGAAGTAGGACTCTTTCCAAGTTTTGCCTTTGCGCTTGGCAATGAAGATGCATTCGTTCTGAGACAGCGCCTATACAATCGTCAGTATGCAAACAAAGATTGAGTCAAATTCTTTAAGGGTCTTACCTTCCAGAGGTAGTCTATCTGAGAAGTCTCATGAAACTGCTTGCTGACTGCAGCATACCTACACAACTCCTGAGCATCAAAGTACTGGAATACGTTTGACAGACAATAAGGAGAGACTTTCTGGATTGGACAATAATTTTCCATTTATTTTTATATTAGGATATTAAAATTCTTTAAATATTTATCAATCTGGTAGACACTGAGTGGGGTTTTGGGGTTTTGGGGTTTTGGGGTTTTGGGGTTTTGGGG